GATGTCTTGCTAGGCTTTTTTGGGTTTTTTGTATGAAATAGTATTAACAATGTTTTTTGTATTAAATGGTATTAACAATGTTTTTCGTATGAAATGGTATTAACAATGTTTTTTTGTATGAAATGGTACTAATAATGGTTTTTTGTATGAAATGGTATTAACAATGTTTTTATTTGTATGAAATGGTATTAACAATGTTTTTTTTGAATGAAATGGTACTAACAATGTTTTTCTATGAAATGGTATTAACAATGTACTTCTATAGCATGGTATTAACAAAGCACTTCTATAGCATGGTATTAACAATGCACTTTTATGACATGGTATTAACAATGTACTTTTATGACATGGTATTAACAATGCACTTCTATGACATGGTTTGTAGAGGTTTGATGGAGAATGAAGGGCCATGGGGACAAACCCTTGGTTTTCTGATTTTTAATTTTAAGTTTGGGTTTTTTCAAAAAAATTTGATATGGGCTCGTTGGGCTTGTTTTGGGTTTTTTTAGGAATTTTGTTTTGGGCTTGTTTTAAGTTAATCAATGGCAGAGATGTAATTTATAGGAACTTCAATACTAATTTCATATGTAGTAAATGGTTTTTGGGTGTGTTTCTAAAGTGCATTCCATGTAGGGTTTTTTTTATAATTTCAGATCCTATTTTGGGTATATTACTAAAGCTCCCAATAATAAACTACAAAAACTATTTAAATTTTAACTCCCCATCCGTTTTGCAAGAATTTCCATTTGGCGTCCCTTATAATAATTATTAGCATTGGAGGCATCCTAGTTGTATCTTGTAACATTATCCTTTCTTCCTCTTGAAAGGAATTAATTGTAAGTTTATTTGTTGTTCAATTTTGATATTCTATGGTTGTTGTGGTTTGCAAAATACCTGCAGGGAAAAGAACTATAAAAAAAAAGAAAAAAAAGGAAAAAAAAAAGGGTGTTCGTGTGCTGAAAATGCCTACAGTGAAAAGAATTAAAAAAATATATATTTGTTTGTGATTTGCAAAGCACCTACAGCTACGGGAAAAAGAATAGAACAGATGGTGTAGGTAGCTTGCAATTGAAAGTGATTAAAAATATAAATTGCAGAAAATAAAAAGATAAAAAAAAAGACATCATTAAATAAATATTTAAAATAATAATAAAATATGGTAGAATTTAATTATAGGGAGTCACTAGGAGCCCTTTCTCTCTCCTCAGATTTAGAAGCTCCTAGAGGTCTTCCTATTTTAGGAGCTGGATAGGGAGCATGATTGGATGTGAGTTTTTTCAATTTTTCCCCAAATTTTAGCTAAGGAGGTGGTTTAGGGAGCCTATTATGGATGTTCTTAGGCCTTTGGTTAAGTGGTCTTGGATTCAAACCCCCATGGTATTAGTACTATGTATGAGTTTTTCTCCCTTCTCCCCAAATTTGGCAAAATAAAAAAAAAATAAAAAAAAATACAATCCAAACTTGAAAGCCTATTGTCTTCGAATTTTGTCCAACCCATTTTCCCTTCCTTTAGATCAATATATCCAGAGACCTTAAAATTTAACAAAAACACATCCATTCGCATGAGGACAATGCTAATGAAATGAGTGATGCGAGAGATCACATAAACAGAGCACTGTAGATGGATTATATTCAGAATCATTAGTCTTAGAATTTATTTAGTCTAGAATGTTTTAATTTAATATGTATTAGTTAAGATTTAAAAACCAATTGAGCTTGTTGATCATATATGTATGGTATTAAAATATGGATGTTAAAATAGTATATTTAATATAATTTTGATAATGTTTATTAAAATATCTTAATTATAAAAAATGAAGAAAAAAATTGTTTTTAAGAATTCAACTAAACAAGTTTTCAAATTTTAGAGATTCAAAAATAATTTTCAAATTGCATACCACACAACTTTTTGAAATCTTAAAAAATGAATTAGAGAACCGCTTGTTTTTATGAAAAATCACAGTTTTAAGTTCCCTACTCAAATAGGATACCATACAGCCCTAATTTTCTTATTAATTTCTGTCATCCAGCATTACGCTTTCTTTTTCAGTGACCCCTGAACTCTATAGTATAGACTATAAATTTAAGTCAATCAAGTCAACTTTTGAATTGTCGCATAATTGATTCATTTGGGAATCAATTCCCAACAGCTAATAAAATTTGCTTATCGTTTGTTTAACTCTGATCCACTTAGCTGATATATGCTTAAGTTATGTTTACAATAATGTCGAAATTGATTCAATCAAACAAGCACTATTCGTCCCACTCATCAGTGGCTCTCGGTCTTAAGCGGGCCCTCCCCAAAATCAGCAGCTTCAGTTGTTTCTTTCTGGGATGCAAGCGCCCCTGTATCATCTCTGCTCATAACACCCAACTCCAACTCTACCACTGATTGCTGCACCCAGTCAAACTAGTTAAGATCAGAATAATGCTAACAAAACATTTGTAAGCCGCAAATAAACGTCCTTCCATGCCAAATCTTGAAAGAAAAAGGGTAAAAAAAAATAAAAATATAGACGAACAAACAGGATACCAAACTTTACAGGGGAGATTAGTACCTGGTGTATATTCTTTTATCATTTTAGCAGTGA